CAGCATACCCTCAGCATGTTCAATCCACACAGAACTGACTTTGACTGTGGGTTTTGACACCCGCAGAGGTCACCTTGGGAGCCCCGTTTTCAACATCCGTAAGTTTCGGCATGGAAGCTATAGGTTTCGGCAGGCTGCCGGACATCCCAATGACAGCCAAGGACGCCCAGCACCCCGACAACTCCCTTTCCCCATCCCGATTTTGTGGGGTGAATGGACACTCCTTCTATCACCTCTATAAGTCTATAAGGGCTATATGAAAAGGATGGCCCGAGTGCAATTGCATCATCGTGAGCCCTACAAGCCCGAAGTACACAACTCGAACCGCAAGACGATGAGTCGCGTTTTCGTTGCCCGACAGCACCGCAGCTTTTCGGAGCAGAACATGCGTGCATCGGACCGCGTTTTCGGCGCCGCTGGAGTCCAAGCCGACATTTCAAGAGCCCAGACGCTCATGGGCTCTCATATGGAAGGGTCGGTCCCTCATATGGAGGGGTCTGGGGTCTCCAATCCCTAGGTTTTGAGGAACCAAGGGCTGTTTGGAGCGTCTGGGAGGTTGAGAAGTGCAGACCGACTGAAGATCTCCCGTTTTTGCAGTGGCCGATCTGGATTTCGCTGAGAGAAGAACACAGCAAAGCACAAACATCGAAGTGGAGCCAAGCGAAGAAGAGCAGAAACAGAGAGATGGTCAATTTGTGTGGTCAATGCACAGTGGTTGATACGGAATTCAACTGAGCTTGGGGACTATATGAGGTTGACATGAAGACAGTTCGGCCAGGTGTGATTTAATTGAGGTCCGGTCCTGGACAACCAACATGATGCTTTTGTCCTTTTGGGTTTCTGGCCGCAAATCCACGGAAAAAAAACCGCCGCGACAAACGACAGCACTAGTCACTAGTCGTGCTAGTTGTATCAAACGTTTTGATCGACGGACACCATTGTGTTTGAGAGCGCTGTTGGCGCTTTTGAATCTAACTCAAGAAATGACAGCTATAGAAAGACGTGATCTTGCCTACAGCACTTAACCCAGAAAAAAATCAAAAAGCACGTCAAAATGGGTGCAGTGTTGTCAAAGAAAAGACCAAACCACCCTGCAACACGTGAACCATATGGCATATTGAACTATAGAAACGCAAAGTGGATTCTTGACTTGGGCATTTTTGGAATGCCTCATTCACGGACTTTCTGCAACGAGACAAAAAGTGGCTAACGTCACTTGCAGAATGACTCAGAGAATGACATTGGGGCAGAACATGGACAGTTGGCAAGGAAGACTTGTCACGCTGGACTTCCAAGGAGTTCAGATAAACTGATGTTCAGGGTCGCGAGTTGAAGGGTTTCGTAAGGAAGAAGTGGGATCCGTGCGATCCACATACAAAACGTACTAGGAACACAATGGGGGTCGACCAGGGTGTTTGTTTGGGTCGTTTTTCTCAATTGAAAGATACCTTCCTGGGAGGGTTCAAGAAGCTTGGTCTTGGATGCTTTCCAGTTTTAAGTCTCCGCAGCGGTCGAAGTTCAATCAGAGGTCGAGGTCGAGCTGATCACAGTGGTGTTTCTTCCAGCCAAGTCCGGTCGAGCGAAGTCTTTGTGAGGTCCGGGGCGCCGGAGCTTCTATGGGACTATTCTGGCGTGTTCAAAGGTGGACCCTGAACTAGCTGATGCCCATAATATATATGCCTACATTGGGTTGGTGCCAGGGGGGTCAATGGGGCGGCATATATGCCAGTCCCATGGAGTGTCTGGGAATGGGTCGTGACCCACCATATTCGCCCACCCAGTCCACCAGTCCGCGACACCAGGTAGGTCCGCCAAGGGGTGGAACGTGGTGCATCGTGTACATGGTAAGTCGTGTCAACAAGGTATCCTGGTTTTGGACCCACCAGCCATATCTTTGCCCCCCAAGTCCCAGAATTGCTTGGGGAGTGAACATCTGCAGGACACCCCTTGGTTTGGGTGAAAACCATGGATTTCCTGTTGATTGTCCCTTCAAAGCCCGGATCATGTCCGGCGGGCTAGGTGAGATAATGTGGCGGCTTTTCGTTGCGCAGGTTGGACTGGATACAGTGAAGACAGGTCAGGTCTTTTTAAGGTCTTTTTACATCTTTTTACCCTAGGGCCCTAGGGCCCTAGGGATCCAGTCGTACCTTCTCAGAAGGCACCTGGACCCTCCCCACCCCAGTCCCACCTTCTCAGAAGGCACTCGGGTCCCTAGGGTTATGCTGACTGCATCACACAAGAAACTACGGGCACCGCATTACTAACACGGAGCGTTCGGACGCGAAGCGAACGGGGCGCTCCTGGCCTATATAGTAACAAGAAGCTAGTAGTTGCCCGTCATCCCACAGCAAATGATTAGAGGGGATGCCCGTGTTGTTCTTTTTGTGGACAAGCAGTGGGTACTCAGTATATAGGTATATGGCAGTATAGGTATATATGGCACCTGGCATCGACCCTTCTAATTTTCTCAGGATTCAATAGGACGGAAAGAACCGTGAAAGACACGGCGCCGGCGATCCATGTGGAGGACTGTCCTTTGCGTGGTGGTTCTCTCCGTGGTTCTGGCGATTCAGGCGACCGAATGCCCGAGGATCAAATTGTTTGACATCCAAGGAGGACTGGTGTTCCTTCAGAAGCGCTTTTTAGAGTCGAACCGAACCAAGAAAACAAAGCGCGTTTGGTTCCGCTGTATGACGAAACTCTGGAGAGTTGTGCTGCTTTCTTTTGGTAATGCCAATGCTTTCTTTTGGAAGGGGTGCTCGAGGTATGGAACCATGAAAAGCCATCATGCAGAGGAAGCTGTATTTAGTTTGAACACTTGAACCCGGCCTAAAGCTTGTGGGGCTTCCCAATGTGCGATGTTAGTGCAATGTTCGCCTCCTTCCTGCCGGGTAGGTAGCAGTGCACCTACCAAATAAGGTGCCCATCCAGGTGTTCATCACCCAAGTCCACTGAGCTCAACTCGAAGCCCTTTGGAAATAGTGATCGCCAGGTTTTGCGACTTTTGCATCCTAAAGAGGTAAATATGGCACGTGTTGCAACATCACCTAGTGGAAGCAGCCGCAGACGCTTGATGTTTGGCCACTTACTTACTCTTCAAATCACAGCGCTGACCCGGCACTCCTTGAATTCTTCAGACCGTAGGACCATGCAGGAATACCTTATCTTTTTGTGCCAGCAGCTACTAGCAGAGCCGTCGGAAAGATAGAAGCTGAACACGTGGTGTTGAGATCGAAGCGGTGTTGTCCGCTACAAGGAGCAACCTGAGCATCAGAGAGGTCCTTCTGGAGTTGTGCAATCATGGGTTGCATATGTTTGCAGCAAAGGAGGACTGGAAGCTCCCCAACACCGGTAGATTGATAGCATTGATAGCAAGGTGCATCCGATAAGCATGATCAGTGTATCATATTGCATGGAATGGAACACAATGTACGATGTTATTTTCTTGTTATTATCTTGCGTTGCTTTCTGCCGAAGATTTCTGCCCCGTATACTCTTGTCATATTCTAGAACATGTTGCAACTTTTATATACACACTTCTGGCCTTTACCTACGCTTGCTCAGACAGAGCGTTTTCTGCTCAGACACAGAAATCACCCCCAGCACATCCGTAGTGGTTGCCCAACGCATCAGGCGGGAGCCTGGAGCCTCCGTGTCCCCGTGTCGTGTTATTCAGTACCTAAAGCCCCCCCGAAGTTGGACATGATCCTTAAAAAAACATGTACTTGCAGGCATCCATTTTCCCAGGTATGAACGGGTTGACTTCAGGTACTTCACCCCCCCCCCAGACCTTTGTGGGTACAGAGCACTGAACTCAGCTATCTAGATATGCCCAGCTGATCGATCTGACAGACTCTGCCTGCCTGCAGCTCCCTGCAGCAACTCCACATTCCAGCGTTGTGGTGCCGAAAAAGGGGCAGTCGTCGCGGCGCCAAACTGGGGCCTGAATGCTCGGTCCTGTGGGCTTTACCCTTTGGGAAGATGGAACAATGCAATGATATTGAATAGGACCATACCAGGGCACCGTGCGGGGGATTTGTTGAGAGATCGTGCGCGGGATCATGGTGATTCAGGGAGGTGAGATCGTGGTTGGATGAGATGAAAGGTCTCTTTGTTGGGATCGATGGGTGATGGGTGGATTTTTGGGGGGCTATCTTCGCATCCGTATGGAGACTGAGCGAGACTGGAACACCTAACAGATCGACCTTGGAGGACTTGGGATCAATGAGGGATTAGGCGCCTTGGGATGCGGCCACAGTGTGTGTGTGTGGTGTCTCACCCAAGGGGATGCCTTGGATGGGCCTCTAGGGCGAGACCGTGGTACTGTAAATAGTGGTAAAGACTTCAAAGACGTTCCAAGCCTAAGAATGTTCCAGGAAAGTTAAGTCTTTTCAACTTTTTTGAAACTTCCAAGCCTGCCTTTTTAACTTTTGACCAATGTGGAAAATCACCTTTATATAACCCTTTTTGGGGGGGACTTTGGGAACACCCCACACACCACACGAAGAATGGTGAACTTCGAGTCAGGACAAAAAGAGTCAGGCGAGACCATGCGGACGAGACCATGTCGCCGCTGAGCATGTGATCGGTTTCGGTCAGTTTTGGGGGAGTCTCTTTGGACCCCCCCCCCGTCGGTGGTGAGTGCCGAAGCCGGCCCTGCCGCGTAGGCCGCCAGCGGAGTGGATCTGGTGCTGGTTCTGACGAAATCGAAATCGAACAGACTGTAGGATGTTGTGTCGGTGGCATTGTCAGTTGCCTTCTCAACCTGCATCCTTCGATCAAACCAATATTTACCTGAAAGTCTCAGTTCGTACCTCGGGAAAAATGGGTACAAGTACAGTACCTGTTTTTATGGGGTCATGTCCCATTTTCGGTACTTTAGACCCGGGGCGGGCCATTGAATGGTGGTGGCCGTACCGGACCGTCGGATTCACGCTCCGGGGGTCGTACCGGACGGTCTCCAGAGGCCACCGGAGTCGAAGGCCGATTCCCGCTCCCAGGTGGTTTGCCGGGGCGTTTGCGCGCGCTGGTGCGATTGGCGAAGCACATTGGCAGATGGGGAGGACGACTGTGGGATACGATCCGACTGACCCAGTACTTTGGAGAATGAGATATGACCCCTATGAAAACAGGTATACGACTGTACCCATTTTCGGAGGTACGGACTGAGACTCCAGGTAGATGAATGATGATGAAAGTGATGAGGAACACATAGGAACACTATCCCCTAGGGGTCCACCTAAAAATTTGAGAAGGTGATTGGAGACACTGTTGCGTAGGTTTGGAGGGTCCAAGTACCTTCTGAGAGAAATTGGATCCCTAGGGTATCAATGCCGAATATATTATGATAAGCAACCACACAGTTGACAGATGATTCCCAGTGAGTCCAACATGTTGAACATGTGTCAGACTGTCAGTCTTATGGCGGATCATCCAATATGACATGATTTACGCTATTGAGCTTTAGATCATAAAAGCAGCACGAATCACATGCAGCACAGACCCCCAGAATCACATGTCGGAGAGAACCCAATTCATTTGGTCTCCGGATCCAGCGGTCAGCTCCGGCCGCTCGCGCGCCTGCTCCCGCCCCAACCGAGGCAATGGGTCAAGTCCAAGGCGTTCCGGGGGGGGGGGGGTGTTGGAGTGGGAGACCTGCTCCCTTTTTGGGGGAATCCAGATAGACTCCGTTTTTGGGGATCCAGATGTCCTTTTTCTCTTGTAACAGATGTACCTTCTTTCTTCCACATGATGTGTTTCTTGGTAACAGATGTACTTTATGTCTTTTCTTCGTACTGAAGCCAGATGCGTTCGAGTCACCAATTCACTCCACAGGAATGCCCAGTCCGTTTTGGGCCCCCATACATCGACGTAGCGAGTCGCGTTTGGGAGATTCCATGTGGATAGATGTGGACCTTCATCCTTTTTTGGGATGCAGGCTCTCTTCAATTGATGATGGTGATGGTGAAATGAGGGTTGACCAATTAATGAGGGTTGACCAATTCAATCCCATGGTGATGGTGATTCCATTAATTAATGATTCAGGCTCAATCCTAGGGTTGATGTTGTGATGGTGATCTTTGACTTTTGAAGCTTGCCCAAGGTGAAGTTCTGGCGCGTTTGTTTTCCGCGCGTGGGGCAAGCGGAAGACTTCCGCCGAAACACGCAGCGTGTGCAGGCGATTAACAGCGCGAAGGACGGCGCGTTGAGTTCATACGGCTGGGTGCGGGGACTGAGACTCGACTCTGAGACTCACAACGACGAGCCAGCGCCGAGTCCTGTGCCGGAGGGGAGGCGAGTCCTCTGCCGGTGGGGGACAAAAACATGCGCGAATTCTGTTGGTTTGGTGCGAAGAACACCTATTTTCTGCCTACACAGGTCCAGCGGACTCAAGAGACTGCCCTTCCCGTCGTCCAAAGTCAGAGCAGTCGGACTTGTAAATCGTCTATAAATTCTCACACCCTACACCGACTTCGTCGTACCTCCTCAGGTTCGGTATGACTGGACCTGACAATGGCACCTGGGCCCCGGTCGTCCCACCTTCTCCTCAGGAGGTGCGACGAAGTCGGTGTTCGGACAACCTGCGTTGGTTTCCATCCATTTGGATGGATTTCGGGTTCCAAGTCCTTCTCATCGACCGTCCCTTTCTCAATCGGGACCGCCGGCACCGGCGGTCGGGCGGTGAGGTTGGAACGGGTGAGGTTGGCAGGGAAGAACGGGTCACTTGAAGAAAACTTGAAAAAGATCATGTATTTTCACTCCATGTAATATGTACATTTTGTACTTTGCACATAGTAGGATGTCATGTCACCTTGACTTTGCAGCTCGCGGCCCAAAACAGGAGTTGCAGCTTAGCGGCTGTTTCTATAGGTTATCAGCCGTAGTGCTCTAACCACAGCCATGGACGCTCTTGCTATTCCTGGGAACGGCACATCATCGGTAGCAGTCCCAGCCGGTCTCATGACTGAGCCCACGGTGGATCTAGATGACCCCATGGGTTCAGCTCCTGTCACAGCTTACTTTCAGTTTGTGCAGCAAAACATCCAACAAGTGTACAACGGAAATGAAGATGCTATCATTGCTGAGGCAGAGAGAAGGCATAAAGAGATAATGGGACAATGGTTGGAAATGGTAAAAACCAAGTTTCGTCAAGCAATCGATGAAGTAGCGAGCAAGCATCATGAGGAACTCGGTTCGGTAAGGCAGCAAGCTCAATCTAGCTACAACCAAGTGCAAGGGGAACTTAGCGCTGCAAAAGCGCGGATCCTGAAGCTAGAGAGTGAAAGGTCCATTGAGGCTGAAGCCAGAAAAGCAGAACTGGACTCCTTGCGCATCCAGCTCATGCACGATTGTCAGCAAACTGTCACTGCCATCACCAGCGGTGCCGAGCAAGGTGTGGCAACGCTTCGTGCAGAGTTCGATGAGCGGGAAACTCAGCTTCGACGTGAGCTACGCGACGCAGAAAATGAAAACTATAGCCTGCAGCAAATGCTCGATTACCTTAAAGCCAAAGTGCATGCTGAACCCGAGCTAGAGTACCGTCCAACAAGTGTCATGAACACACCAGTGTCTACCCCTAGGCATGATGACACTAAGAGGAAAAATCCTCTGGAGACCATTGCAGCAGAGGCTACTGCACGTTTGAGTGGACTGTTCGCACCCAAAGCGCCGACGGCCACCATCATCGGTGATGCCCCACCAGGGGCAGCTGCTCCTATCAAGCCCGTGCTTCCAGTTTACGGAGGTACAGCAGCGGATGGGGGCAAAACACCGACACATATGTTCCATAGCCCTGCACCTTCAATTCGCGAACCCCATAAGCCAGCGTCATCAGGTGCCATCACCTCTGAGCAGGTGATCGAATTGGTCAAGTCACTCACTCAAAGAGAGTCAGATGAGAAGCCAAAGGTAAAGGAGGCAGATCACATCAAGTTGAATGATATGCCAACCCCTGAAACCTATCGGCAGTGGAAACATCATGTGAGGGACGAAATCAAGTCATGTTCTGACAAACCAGATGCCGCCTGGGACTGGTTAATGGAGGTTTACAACACTGTTGATGAGAGGAAAGTTCTGGAAGAGCGGTTGTCTAACCCTGGGAAGTTCACAACGTTGGATACCAAGTTGGCAGCTGCGCTGACCAGAAGTGCAAAGGGTGATCTAGCAAACCGAATCATCAATTACAAAGAAGAGAAGGCAAAGCTAGGCATCCAGGTTCGAGGTAGGATGATTCTTCTCATGTTCGACGACTATTTCAAGACCTCGGAAGAAGCGGGTAGCCTTTACAGGGTTGAAGATCTCCTCAATGTGGTAAAGGTAGGCGATACTGTAGCGGACTTGAAGCGTTTCATCAACCGCTGGGACGCTACCATCGCTGGTATGCCCGAACCACCGCACGAAAACGTGCTTCGAGACATCCTTTTAAGGCAGATCCGCACTAGCACAATCCTAAGGTACGACATTGACCTTTTCGATCGTGCAAAAGAAGGTGACCATCATCGGTCTTACAAGTTTCTACTGCAAAGCATCAAGGATCTGATAGATCGGGAACGCCTTCGTGAGAATCGATCACGTATCGCGGAGCGAAATCGGCTCAAGCCAGGTGATCGACATGAGAAGAACGCCGCCCCTACTGTTGATCCTCGGCGAAAGCGTTCGCCATCGCGCGGACGATCCACTACTCGGGAGAAGGGTATTTGTTGGGCCTTTTTGGAGGGAAAGTGTGCAAAAGGGAAAGATTGCAAGTTCAAGCATGAAAAGCCCAAGCGTGATCCTTCCAAGAAGCGCCAACCATCCCGGGAGCGGAATGAGTCGAGGGACAAAAGCACAGATAAGGAGAAGAAGCGGATGACTAAGGAAGAGATGGCGAAGACCCCATGCAGGTACGATCAACAAGGTACATGCAGAAGAGGAGACAAGTGCTTTTTCAAACATGGAGAAAAGGCAGCGCCGGCTCCGAAAACGAAGCCAAGAAAGGACTCCCCAAAGCCAAAGGCAAAAGGAGATACCAAGAAGGCTGCCATTTGCCTGAGCAATCGGTTTGCATGTCTTGCGACTGGTGTGCCCGGACGGTCATGTCTTAAGAAGTCCTGTCTCCCTCCAGCGAGAAAGAGGTCTAAGTCACCTGTCCGAAGAACTACATTCGTTATGAAACCTGAAATTCGCACAATCCCTGCTCGCGGGGAACACTGCAAGATGGTCAAGCGTGAGCGCAAGTATAGTGTGCATTTTGCCACGAGCGATCGCGTGCCCAAGAGCGACCCAAAGGCAGCCCACATGGCCAAAGTAAAAGCTAGGCAGTTGGCTGAAGTTGTTCAAAGCTTTAATAGCGCAACAGTGCCCTCATGTCGTTTTCTGTGCACCGAGTCTTCGCTTACTTGTCGTGAGTGCCGAAGCTTGATCAAGTTGAAGACATGTCCTACTACCATCCCGACTATCGTTGCTGGTCCAGCACCAAGGGAAGGCAGGTTCTCGTGGCTTGTCGATTCTGGGAGTGAGCAAGACCTCCTCAGCAGGAAAGTTATGGACGCTGCTGGTGCGGAGAACCCAAGACGGGCTCCTCACACCATCAGTCTCATTACTGCGAATGGGTCGACTGAAGCCAGTGAGGTAGCTGACGTAAAGATGAAGCAGCTACTGGAGCCTTGCACGCCGTATTTGCTGGATGAATGCCCTGCTGTGCTCTCAGTTGGCATCAAATGCCTTGACCAAGGGTATAGTTTCGTGTGGCCAGCGAACGGTACTCCGATCCTTGTGCGACCAGATGAGAAAATCGTTCAACTTCGCGTTGATGGTCATGTCCCAGTCCTTGACTCCGAGTGCAAAGTCTTTGGAAAGGGCAAGTTCAAGAAGGACAAGCCTTTGAAGAAGCTGTTTGCAATGCCGGGAGCAATCTCGAGCCCGTCGGATAAGAAAGAGGATGAGGGCATCGACGAGGAAGTGCCAGACGACGAAGAGAGCCGTTTGGTGCGATCAAGAAAAGTTGGAGACTTGATGCGTGAAGCACAGTCCGCAAAACACCAGTATCACCACTTCCCCAAGAACCCATTCTGCAAAGTGTGCCAGCGAGCGAGGATGCTTGCACCACAGGCACGAAAGAAAGGGGGTGAGAGCCGCATTCAGACTAAGGCCTTTGGTGATCATTTGATCGCCGACCACGTCGTCGTGCGCGCGAACATCGAAGAAGGGAGTCGTGGTGAACGGGTAGCTTTGGTTGTGAAAGACCTGCATACAAAGTTCCGGAGTATTTACCCATCCCAGTCAAAGAGTTCGGATGAGGTAGTGATTGCTCTTCAGCATTTTGTTGCCCCGGATGATGCAGTCGAGGTCATTTACACCGACAATTCCCGTGAGCTGATAGCTGGCATCAAGGAGTTAGGGTATCGCCACCAAACCTCCGTTGAGTACGTGGACTCCTCCAAGAGCTTCATTGAAAGGGAAGTTAGGAACATGCTTGAGGGAGCACGCACCAATCTTGTTCAGTCCGGAATGCCCCTCCAGTACTGGCCACTCGCCATTCAACATTTTGCAATGGCAACGAACACGAGTGATCAGCTGGACTCATCTCCAAGCCCATGGGAACTGCGTTTTGGAGAGATGTTCGAAGGCATGGCCATTCCGTTTGGTGCAAAAGTCCTGTTCTGGAACAACCCCAATCGAGCCGACAATACAGCAGGAAAGCTGTCGCCCACTTCGGTGGAAGGTGTGTTTCTTGGTTATCATGTACAGCCAGGACACAAGTGGCGTGGGGAGTACCTAGTTGCTAAGTTGGAAGCACTAGACTACCATGTTGAACACAACAGTTTGACGATCCAGAGGACAAAGAAAATTGAGCTCCTTCCAGGCGGTTTTAGTTTTCCGTTGCGTGTCAAACAAGATCGTAAGGAAGCTATCCCTGATGACCCAAAGCTCAACCTCATCGAGTCTCCCAATCCGATTCCACTTGCGGATGCTGACCTTGCAGAGTACACTCCATCCGAAGCACCAGAAGGTGTACTTGAACAGGGGGGTGTGGAACCCGAAATTGAAGTCACGGCAGCTGACAAAGCCGAGGACTACAAGCCCGACACTACGCCGGCCGGGGTCCCTATTCCTGAAGGTTACCATTGGGATGGTCTTCGAGTGGTGAAGACGTACAAAGGCAGCAAACGCCCCAAGGACATTCCATCAGATTATTGGAAAACGCTCGGCCCAAAAGATCGAGCAAAGTTGCTGAAAGAAATG